AAAGCACAAATCACATCTCACTGCTCAGATTCATTTTCTACAAAGGGAGGGGTGGACACAGATGCTTCCTCCTTCCCCACAAATGATACAATCTGACTGTTGAGCATTTATTGTTCTTTCAGTAGAAAGCCCTCCTCCCCAGGATCTCCTCACTCTGGCTGCCCTTGGAGGCCTAGGTCACTGATACTGTGTCAGGAAACTTCCTACCTGTGCAGAAAGCTTCCCAATGACCTGCTTTGTGGTCCTCAGAGCTGCAGACAAAAGCCAAGGTGACAGTGCTGAAGGGAGACATTCTGGATGCCCAGTGCCTGAGGAGAGCCTGCCAGGGCATCTCTGTTGTCATCCACACCGCTGCTGTCATTGATGTCTCAGGTGCCATTCCCAGACAGACCATGGTGGATGTCAACCTGAAAGGTACAGTGTCTCAGGAAGATATGGAACAGGTGGAAAGATGAAAACAGAAAAACAGGTTTGAGGAAGGGAATTCTACTTTGGAACATCTGCTGTGCTTGCTCAACTCTCTCAGAGAGCAGAGCACACAGCTGTTAGTCTCAGTATGTCTTTACATTTTCATTTTATTTTTGGTTTCTGCCTGCATGTATGTCTGAGCACCGTTTGCATGCTTGCTGCCCATGGGGTGAGAAAAATGCATTAGATCCCCTAGAAATGGAGTTACAGACGGTTGTGAGCAGCCACATGGGTACTGGAGTCACACTCAGATTCTCTGGAAAAGCAAGCAAACAGTGCTCTTACCGATTTGACACCCCTCCTGGCCCTAGTCTCAACAGTTCCAGTGAGGAAAACAGTAAGAGGGGAAGGACGTAATCAGAATGCCCAAGGCATTAAGAGAATGGAGATTTAAAGTCCTCTCCTGTCCCCTCAACCGCTAGAAAAGCTGTCCATCTCCATGCCAGTGCAATTGGACTCCAACTCCAAATCCTCATTTTCCATCTACCCACTGCCCTACTTCCAGGCCAGATCCAGACCTGACAGGTGCTAGCCAGCACAGCATGTGGTATTTTCCTCCTGTGAGAGCCACTCTGCCCATCTGCACAGACCATGGCAAAGCTCCCCCACAGATGTCTGCAGGGAAGAATGACCCAGCACTTCCCTGCCCACTCTAGTTTTTTAGGAGTCACTATTTCCCTTGTCTTTAGCAATAGCTTCTCAGGCCACTGTGGATCTCCTCTGGAGGAAGACGGGGATTCCCTTTAATTGGTGGCCCTGTCTGCATTATGGCTTTTTAATATAAGTTAGGGTGAAACAGGTAAGTTTGCATGGGGTTTCTATGTAATATCCTCACCCCGAGCTCCAAGGATCAATCTCTGTATCACCATTACACCCTCTGCAAAGCTGCCCTATATGTTCTTTATGTTGGGACTTTCAATGTGGACACTCCAAGACTCCTTTACAAAAGAAAAAATATTTGATTTAGAAGTCAGGAATATGTCAAAAACATCCTTTCTAGTTTTTAATCCATCTCCCTGAAGTGGCACACACATAGCTGCAGGAAGGTGACAAAAGTCTCTGGTGTTCCTTGCCCAGCTCTCAACTGTGGCAGTTACCTGTTGGTTTCCCAGCAACAGGAGATGGGAAGTGACAGGGATAGCGGTTAAGGTACTTTTTAGTGAATCATGGTCACAGATTGAGAAAATGTTTCACAGTGATGGTTATCCAACCCCCTACTGGTAATCAAAACCCAAATTTAATTGGCAAATATATTTAACTTGAGATAATGAAGTCGTTTCTCTAGGAAATCCAGTTGCAGAGTGCCTTCTAATGTTAACAAATGAATGAATTATAATAATAGTAACTCCTGCACAGGACATTCCTTCTTTCCTCGAGGGAGGATGCCCTCTCCTCTCCTCCAGGATCTTCAGTCTGCATTGTCTGCAGTATTCTGCCATTACAGGAAGAACCAGTTCGAGGCACACATTCTTTTTCAGTTTTCTACCAGGCTCAGTAGAAAATAGTGAGATTATATGAACAGCAAAAACACATTCTTAAAGTTATGTTGCCAAAGTACAACTATAGGATGCCATTCTTCTCCCCCAGAATCAAAGGTCACATACAGAAATAAAAAGATCTGTAAAGGCTGAAATTCTAGAACCCTTGGCTCCCAGATGGCAGATGTCCCCCCTGTACTTTGTTATTGCCCATGTGCCCATGCCACGGTTGGTCTGCTCCAGGAACAGAAAAGAATGCACCATAGAGCTGGGATTAGGGTGGAAATGAACAGGAATCATGTGGATTTCTGAGTTTATTTCCTGAGACTGACTATATGTTGTCTGTGACTAGGTACCCAGAACCTGTTAGAGGCCTGTGTCCAGGCTAGTGTGCCAGCCTTCATCTACACCAGCTCAATTGATGTTGCAGGGCCCAACTCCTACAAGGAGATAGTTCTGAATGGCCATGAGGAAGAACAGCATGAAAATTCATGGTGTGATCCATACTCATACAGCAAAAAGATGGGTGAGAGGGTGGTGCTGGCTGCCAATGGGTGCAGCCTGAAAAATGGTGGCATTTTGCATACTTGTGCCTTGAGACCTATGTATATCTATGGGGAAAAAAGTCCATTCATTTATGTTATAATGGTCAGGGCGCTCAATAATAATGGTATTCTTGATGTTTTTGGGAAATTTTCTTCAGTTAACCCAGTATATGTGGGTAATGTGGCCTGGGCACACATTCTGGCTGCCAGAGCCCTACGAGACCCCAAGAAGTCACCAAGCATCCAAGGTCAGTTCTACTATATCTCAGATGACACCCCTCACCAAAGCTATGATGATTTAAACTTTGCTGTGAGCAAGGACTGGGGCCTCCACCTTGGTTCCAGTTGGAGCCTTCCTCTGCCCCTGCTCTACTGGCTTGCCTTCCTGCTGGAAACTGTGAGCTTCCTGCTGCGTCCAATCTACAACTTCCGGCCTCCATTTAACCGCCACTTGGTCACACTGTCAAATAGTGTGTTCACCTTCTCCTACAAGAAAGCTCATCGAGATCTAGGCTATGAGCCACCTGTCAGCTGGGAGGAAGCCAGACAGAAAACTTCTCAGTGGATCGGGTCACTAGTGGAGCAGCACAAGGGGACACTGAACACAAAGACTCAGTGATGTGACCATGGCAGGGACATGGCCCTAGGTGCTGTCAGTTGGTAGTTGTCAGGTCCTCCAGAAGGACAGAGGCAAAACCCAGGTCCTGCCTCCTCCCTTTGACACACAGACCAACTTGGTGTCTTCCTGAAGTCACTAGATGCTTTGACAGTCACTGTCCCTGACACAGGCTTTCCTTCCCCATCACCTGCCCACAGACACAGGGGCTGCTTTGTCTCAGCTGCTATGAATAAAGTGTTCCGCAATTACAATTTCCCTTCACTTGGAGTGCAGCATTGGTTTTCTTTCCACTCTCAAGCCCTAGATCATATCCTGCCTTTGGAAAAAAAAAAAAAACCCTTGCTTTATGAAGGTCAACCGAAATAGCAATAAATATTGCAATGCCTTACCTGGAGAAAGCATCTTTCTATTATTGGGAATTGTTATGACTTCCCTCCATAGCCAGGCTTGGCAATTCCAGATCACAAATGGAACCTGGAAATGGCATTTTCTCACAGGAAGTGCAATTTGAGCATGGGCTTAACCAACCATGTGGGCACTAACTACATGATTGACATAGATTACCTCATTTCATACCTTCCAGACAGGGATCCCAATCCCATGTCATGTATGAGAGATCTTCCTATCCACCCGCAATGGGATGATGGAAAGTTCACTTCAGCAGAGACTGTGGAGAAACACGTAATCTTCCCTGTAAACCGTGTAGCCTGCACTTGCTTTTTATAGAGGCAGCAGCTCTGAAGAGTAGGCTGTTCCTCACTGACAGAGCTCCAGCTCTCCTGGCCTCCTTTCTGCCTACCTAGACGTACACACAAGGCTCCCCAGAAC